TCGTGTAGGAATTGATCGGATATCATCCTTGTCTGCTTCCATTCTGATAGATCTTATGGAATGTAGTGTTCTGGCTTGTGTGATGCCATTGCCAATCATCCGAAACTTAGGTACGGTTAGTTTCCTTTGATATTAGATGCTGCAGTTGAACTAACAAATTAGTTTTTCCAACGAATAGTTTAATAAAATATGCAAATTGGGTGACTTGCTATACCCTGATTTGCTCAGTTGGTGTGATCTATTGGTCCTACACTGACACAGATATTGATAAATCCAGCTATGGAAGATTTGTAGATGCCATTTCGCTGTGGTTGTTGGGAATATTTATTACGTGCATCAAAAGGCAGTGAAATAGATATTTGGGGTAATGATGAGAACTTGAGATGGTGTAGAGAAAGAAGATTCTGCAAGTCAAAAGTCTTGAAGGAGTCTTGGTCTAGAGAAACCTTTCTAGTGATGCCCGTTTTGACTCAGCTCTTTCAACCTTCTTGGTGTATAATTTGTTGTGAAAGATGGGTATTTGTCTGATGTTTCTGTCCTCCCACTTCCACTTCTTGTTTTGGCATTTGGATCTTTCATGTTTCTCACGTTTTGGTCGGTCATATATTCACTTTAGGATTTTTAATGGTTGAATCCTACAAGGCACAGATTTTCTTGTTTGTTTGCACAAATGTGTTTTCACTCTCTTTTTCTCTGTCAATGATACTGATATCTTTTCTTACGTTTTTGCAGGGGAGTTGTTGTTCTGCTCCATGGTCTGAATGAACATAGGTTTGACCCTTTAGCCCTCGTTTGTAGCCTTTGCTACTTTATTATAATGGTTGTTGCATGGGAAGCCTAACATAAATTTTCTTCAAACATGCAACAGTGGCAGGTATAGTGATTTCGCAAAGCAGCTGAATGGTAATGGATTCAAGGTGTATGGAATAGATTGGATCGGTAATCTCACATATCTTTTTATCTTTTTCCTCCAGTTTGAAGTTAAGTGCATGATATTTTCTGGAACCCTGTTTTTGCTTGACAGTCTTGTCTTGTACAGCTCAATTTCAATGGAGATTCTGTAAGAATTTACCCTTTGTACTTATGATTTTGCACCGAGTAGGTTTACTGGTCGATTGCTTAGTCTATGTTTTTTACACCAGACTTGAAACCTTACCTAGCATATAAACGTCGTCACCGTTTTCAACCATGGATTTATGATATTCATTCATGATTTGCAAGACATGTAACTGTGCTGGTATTAAGGGTCTTTTTGTGGTGGTTGTTGCTTGATTGTGTTGACTAGACATATTCAAGGATATGAAAGGCATGCTTTAGATGATCTTGAACCAAACTTGATAGTAAAATCTCCACACAGAACGTGCGAAAAGGCATTTGAGAATTTTGATGTTTCATAGGCTAGAAAATATTGTTCTTCAACCTTCCCTCTGTGTTTGGATGTCGCAGGGAATTGTGTTGGGGTGGTGCTTATTCATGTGGAAAGGTGACATTGAATCTCATCTTTAGCATACCATTGAGTATTTAGGGATCATTATTCGTCTTGGACCCGAGTTTTCTGAAATTTGTAGTAGAAATAAACCATTTTAGCATCTTTGAAACTTAAAATCTATCCTAAAAGGATTTATAGCATCTGCCCTGTATGTATGATTTCTCTTCCGAAAATCCGAAGATGCTTGCTGGTTTGTTTCCCATGAACTAACTTCGTTTGTTCTGTTTTGATAGGGCACGGTGGGAGTGATGGACTTCACGCTTACGTTCCTTCCCTAGATTATGCAGTCGATGATTTGGTACTCATTTTGTAAACATTTGTGTTCTGTGATATGCCATTGCTGTACTTACATCTGAATAATATTTATGCAGAAATCTTATCTTGAGAAGGTACTGACTGAAAATCCGGGGCTCCCTTGTTTCTGCTTCGGGCATTCAACCGGAGGAGCCATCATCCTAAAGGTAAGAACTTTAATCCCTTATTGCCCCTTTCGAATTTCCTTGAGAATATCCCAATCTGAACGTTTGAATTTTGCAGGCTATGCTAGATCCAAAGATCGAAGCTCGGATTTCGGGCATCGTCCTGACTTCACCAGCCGTCGGAGTCCAACCATCTCATCCAATCTACACCGTAAACTAAACCCGAAAACTCGGAATCCACAACCATTTCGATGCCAGATATTCCTCATGAATCTGTTGTTTTTTGATTGCAGGTTTTAGCTCCGATTGTGTCATTCCTCTTGCCCAGGTACCAAGTCAGTGTCGCAAACAAGAAAGGCCTTCCGGTTTCTCGCGATCCCCAAGCTCTTATCGCCAAATACTCAGACCCTTTGGTCTTCACTGGCTCGATCCGAGTGAGAACTGGTTACGAGATTCTCAGAATCGCTGCGTACTTGCAGCAGAATCTAGACAAAGTCAGGGTGCCCTTTCTTGTTCTGCACGGCACCGACGACACAGTGACTGACCCTGAAGCCTCTCAGAAACTTTACGACCAAGCTTCATCCTCCGACAAGACGATCAAGCTGTTTGACGGGTTGTTGCATGATCTCCTCTTCGAACCCGAACGGGAAGCCGTGACCGGAGTCATAACAGAGTGGCTAAACCGGCGGGTGTAAGTGGCCGAACCGGTTAATTTACCAAAGGCTGAAGGGACAATTTTCCTGGGTCGTTTCCTAAAAAAACTTGTGTGGAAGAAACGGAGAGATGGAGAGTTCAGTTACATTCTGTCTGTCTGTTGATTGATTTTGTTACAATCTGGGCTCTGTCAACTTGTGGTTATAAATCCTTTTTGGTCGTCTGAAACAAAAATCTCAAACGCATTCATCCATTTTTTTCTGTGATACCATAAGTTTGATTGAACTGTTATATGTTCTCTCTAATTTTAAAATTTAAATTCGAAATAAGATAGACTTTTTATTTCTCTATTTACCGGTTGAACCATCTAAATTTGATCGTTGTAGAACTCAGTCAATTTTCATGTTATTTCGTATGTATAATTCGTTTTATATCACTTGTTTTTTAAAATACGTTTTTATTTTTTATTTTCATTTTCATGCTGCGCGTAAAGATTATTTCAATGATGTCAATTTCTAGAGATTTTGATGATGTGCAACGTTATCATATTCTTCCTTTTTTTTTCTATGCTATCCTAAGGATATTGAGAAGATGGTTGCTGAATGAGATATGTTGGTGTATTTTTTATTTTGAATTTTCAAAAAACAGAATAATATATAAAACTAATAAATCTTAATTGAACAAAAACTTAATTCGAATAAAAAATGATAAGTATTATTTTTATAAAATCAAAATCAACAAATAAAAAATAAAAATAAGAAGCGAAAATATAAAATTTGACAAAAAAAAATAAATCTTAAAAAAGAAATCGGAATCAAGACGGTAAATTTTTGAATATTTTTTTAGATTAATTTGTTAAGATATTTCACACACAAAAACGTGAACAAAAACAGCTATAATGTGGAGTGGATATAAATCTATAATAATGTGTTGTATGTAAAAAAAAGAAAGATACAAATCAAATACTAAAATTTTTAAAAAACTAAAATGAAGATGATAAATAACAAAAAAAAAAGATTAAAAGAATATGGTCGCAATGAGAGCAGAGACAAAGTTAAGTCCGATGAAGCTGATGGTGGTCGCCGCCGCGCTTGAAGAGCCTCCGGCGGTTGATCCGCCGGTGGAGGAGCTTCCTGTGTCAATTAATTGTTTAAGGTTAATTTAGTTAACAATTCTTAATATATATATAAATATATATATTTCGAAACGAAATTTCTTAAACTGTTCCGAAATTAAAACCAGCGAATTTTAAATATGTTGAATTTGAAACTATAGTATTTGTTTGGATAAATAATAAGAATAAACAAAAATGGATTTTTCAAAACGAAACATGGTCGAACTTCTAATAAATGAAAGATAAGCTTACATAAATAAATAAATAAAAACAAAAAAAAAAAAAAGATTGTGATAGAAGAAAATTACGAAAGTTTTGGAAACAAGTTACTAACATATACTATATGATAATAAATAAAATTATCGACTAGAGATACCGTTGGTAGACGCCGGAGGTGTCATCGGATTTGTCGGAGTCTCCGGCGACGCCGTCGGCGGAGTAGCTGCACAACAAAAACGACGTCGTTAGACCCAAACACAGGAAAAAAAAACGTTGTCGTATCGACCGGAAGAAAAGTCACCGGAGCTATTGCAGCGTGACACGTCAGCGTTGGCGCCACAGGCCTTGGGGAGATCGAGAGCGTTGGATTTGGTGAGGTTTTGAGATCGGAGCATGGCGGGATTGTTGAAGACGGAGCAGAGACACGTCACGTCGTTGTCGATGATCTCCTTCAACGGCACGCAGCACGTCGCCGGAGGATTCACCGGCGCGTGAATGTACGGCTGACATGGAATCAGCCTCTTTATACACGCCGTCGTCTGAGATCCGCCGGAAGGCGGCGGCGGAGTCTCCGTCGCTGCTTTCACGGCGGACCATGAGAGGAGGAGCAAGGCGACGACGGCGGCGATTCTCAGAGCTTCCATCTTCTTTCCTTTCCCGTAAAACGACGTAGTTTTCGTTACTGTGGTGGTGTTTTCGTTGTTTTCTGTGCTTTCAGTTGCGTATTTATATAGATCTTTTTTTTTTGTATTATTTTGTTTTTTTTTTGGGGGGACGTGTTTTGATCCGCCACGTACGCGGGAGGAAGATTAAAATTTTAGGATCTTGACTAAATCATGATTAATTTAGGTAATTACCGATTTTACTAAAAAAAAATTCATGTGGCACAACCGGCAAGGGCAGATTCAGGCAAGAGATCTCGTAACATGTAATGATAATTGGATTTGTAATTTCTTTTTTTATTCTTATAACAAGTTCGTGTATCGTTGCTCTGTAATTTTTTTTTTTTGGCAAGGTCACCTAACTGTCACAGACAAATATGGATTGTTTATATAGGTTTACAAAATAAAGGAATGACCTGTAGTTACCCAAAAAAAAAATGCATGATCTGGAATATATATAAAGTTTGTAACAATATGTATATATATATAAAAAGTAGCAGGGGTCTGTCCACATCGACTTAGCGATGTAAAACCGTATATGACAATAACATGTTCTAACTCAACTCAATTCGTATATGATAATCATATCGGCCCAGATTAATATGAATATTTTCACATTAAATATAAAAATATAAATATTTTTAATAAATGTAGTTAAATGCTTTTTTAATAAATTTACATGAACCGTTGGATCTCAATAAGGATCGTTTGATTTGAGAAAGCCATCTCAGGCTCTCAGCCGCTATTTCGTGAGTTCAATTTGGACCGTTGGATGAATTCGATCCGATCTCTGCTGCTTATTCTTAACTTCAATCTGACGCGTTGGATCTCCCCAAAACTAATTTCAGCCGTCGATTCTATGATCAAATTGGAGCCGTTGGATTGTTTACTATTCCAGAGGTTTGCTGACGTGTGTAAATATGATTGGTGATATGACAACAATCGACGTGGCACTTCACACTTGTGTAAGATAATTACGTAATTACCCTCTCATCCTTTGTTCATCTCAATCGCATCGAGGAACTGAGAAATTACAGCGAACGACGACGACGACGACGACGAAGAAGAAGAAGAAGAAGAAGATAGGATGAGAGTCTTAGCCTTCAGAGCAGTAACTCTCTCTCTCCTTATTTTCTCTCTCTACAATCATCGTGTCCATGCTCGTCCCTTCGTCCTCGTCTTCTCCAACGATGATCTCAACGGCGGCGTAACCACCGGCGACGACGGCAACGAGTCCTCCGAGTTCGATGAGTTCGGCGATTCCGATTCCAAGTCCGAGGAGGAGCTCGATCCAGGCTCCTGGCGTCCGATCTTCGAGCCGGACGACTCTGCCGTCCAGGTCGCGTCGCCGAAGTACTACTCCGGCCTCCACAAGATTTTCTCAGCGGCGAGTGAAGGAAACGCGAGGCTGATGGAGGATGCGGTGGCGGAGATTGAGGCGGTTGCGGCGGCGGGAGATCCCCAGGCACAGTCGGTGATGGGTTTCGTGTACGGAATGGGGATGATGCGGGAGAAGAGCGCGGCGAAGTCGTTTACGTACCATCATTTCGCTGCCGAGGGCGGGAATATGCAATCGAAGATGGCGCTCGCGTTCACATATATCAGACAAGATGTAAGCATAGCTAACATTTTTAAGATTTCTCTTCTTCTTGGCTGATCTTGTGTGGCTAATCTGAAAATACCGTAACGAAAAATGAGGAAATGAATTGTGCCCAAGTGATATTTTCGACACTAATCTTCGAATTAAGGCACAGTTTAGGCTTTTGTGTTTCTTGTCTTATGTTTCTGTAATTGTCTTGTGATCATGTTCCAGATGTACGAAAAAGCTGTGAAATTGTATGCTGAACTAGCAGAAGCGGCTGTGAATAGTTTCTTGATCTCGAAAGATTCTCCGGTGGTTGAACCCATTAGAATTCATAGCGGAACTGAAGAGAACAAAGATGCACTAAGGAAATCTCGCGGAGAGGAGGACGAGGATTTTCAGATATTAGAATATCAAGCTCAGAAAGGGAATGCTGCGGCAATGTACAAAATTGGACTGTTTTACTACTTTGGTCTTAGAGGATTAAGGCGCGATCACACTAAGGCATTGTACTGGTTTTCAAGGGCAGTAGACAGAGGAGAACCGAGGTCGATGGAACTTCTGGGAGAGATTTATGCTAGAGGAGCTGGTGTCGAGAGAAATTATACCAAGGCATTTGAATGGCTTACGCTTGCTGCGAAACAAGGTCTCTATTCAGCATATAATGGCATTGGGTACTTGTACGTCAAAGGGTATGGAGTGGAAAAGAAAAACTACACTAAGGTAAGCTCTTGCTACATATGTAGTTATAGATTTTTACTTCTTTATCATCAATATAGTTGTGACAAAGGAACTCAGAAAAAAAAGGGTAAATGATTCCTGATTGAATGTCGAGAGTTCTTGGATTAGTCTAAGGATCTAATCTATGTGGGAGATTAAGTTTTTGCTGGAAGTCATCTCTCTAAGTATCTTTTGTCTAGTTGGCACTTTCAAGGAAGGGGCCATGGTTAAAGATTGATGTCAGTAGTACTGTAAAGGAAAATAGATAGTAAATAACGGTTTACTAGATAAGCATTGACAGTAAGTGGTGTATTCCTTCAAGTGCAGGCGAGAGAATACTTTGAGAAGGCTGTGGACAATGATGATCCTAGTGGACACTATAACCTCGGGGTGTTGTACCTTAAAGGCATCGGAGTAAAAAAGGATGTGAGGACAGCATGCAAGTATTTTCTTGTTGCAGCTAATGCTGGTCAACCAAAGGCTTTCTACCAAGTGGCTAAGATGTTCCACACTGGTATCGGACTTAAGAAGAACTTGGAAATGGTAAATTAGTCGTAGTTGTCTTATAACTTTTCTGCATTACCCTTGACGTCAAATGTAGTGATGTTTTTCTTTATTCCATATGTTTAAAGCAGTAGAAGTTGTGTATTTTGCCAAAAATTATATTCATAGAGGCACTAGGATTACAAGGTTCCAGCAATGGTAGTAGATTCATTTCTTAGGTCCTTATCTTCTTTACCTTTTTTTTCCACTTCTAGCTGTTCTAGCAATTTTCTTGGATCACTTGGGCAACCCTACCTTATGATATACAGTACTTTAAATTCCTAGTTCACATTCCTAGCATTTTGGTTCCAGGCCACTTCATTTTACAAGTTAGTAGCAGAAAGGGGACCATGGAGTTCAATGTCGAGATGGGCTCTGAAATCTTACCTGAAAGGTGATGTGGGCAAGGCATTGCTCTTGTATTCGAGAATGGCAGAGCTCGGTTATGAAGTTGCGCAAAGCAATGCGGCCTGGATCCTCGATAAATATGGGGAAAGAAGCATGTGCATCGGAGAGACTGGGTTTTGCACGGATAAGGAGAGGCATGAGCGTGCTCATACTTTGTGGTGGCGTGCCTCTGAACAGGGCAACGAACATGCTGCTTTGCTCATTGGAGATGCATATTACTATGGCCGGGTAAGCAATTCTGTTCGTGCTTGAAGAAAAAAAAATATTTGCTCTGTTTCATCTGATATCCTTATTACATTCATCATCTCACTATGATTTTGCCAATGAATCGGTTCTTGTTTTGGTTACTTTCCTGGATCATCGAGTTCTTGATATCGAATCCAATGTTATCAGGGAACGGAGAGGGATTTTGTGAGAGCAGCAGAGGCATACATGTATGCGAAATCGCAGGCAAATGCGCAAGCAATGTTCAATCTGGGGTACATGCATGAGCATGGACAAGGGCTTCCCTTGGATCTTCATCTTGCCAAGCGTTACTACGATCAGGCTCTCGAGAATGACCCTTCTGCCAAATTGCCCGTCACTCTCGCCCTTGCCAGCTTGTGGATCCGCAGAAACTACGCCGATTCTGTTCTGGTGAGTCTTTCTCTACTTCAAAAACAAACAAGACTTTGAATATATGAAGTTCTTGGGGTGGACGGATACCCGAGATTTCCGGATTATCCAAGTCAAATATCTTGGGTCCGGTTTCAGATTCGTTTTGGTCGGTATTCAGAGATCGGGTATCTGAGATAATTTTTGGATACTTAGGGTACCCAAACTTCAGTTAAAATACAAAAACTTTAAATATTTTCAAAATATATATCATGCATTAGGAGTTGACTTTGATCGGGCATCCAAAATTTTTTGCTTATTCGAACCCGCATCCGAGCCCAAAATTTCATGAGATTTCAGTAGGTTTGTATTGTAATATCTCAAAAAGTAGATGCAAAATGTCATTTTAGTGTTGTCGGGTATCGTGGATAATACACTGTCTCAGACTCAATTACTCGAATCCAAACCCGATTTTCGGGTTTTACTTAGCGTTATAACCTGATCTCATCTCATATAGTGTTCGGGTATCCAAATTCGGGTTTTTTTTTGCCCAACCCTAATATGAACCTGCGTAAATCAACTGAGAGTTTTCTACAATTTCTTGGATGTCCGAATTTTTTTAGTATAAAGAGATTAAAGGAATGAAAATATGATTCAATGGTGCGTTGTGATGAAGCAGGTGAGGGTACTGGATTCCTTGCCGGAAGTGTACCCGAAGGTGGAGGGATGGGTGGAGAACGTTCTGTTGGAAGAAGGAAACGCCACTATACTCACACTTTTCGTATGTCTTATAACTGTCCTGTACCTCCGGGAGAGACAGCGGAGACACGTCGTCGTGGATCCTGTCGGTGCTGACGTGGCACAGCCCCTCCTCGCCGTCCCGCAGAGGTGATCTCTCTCATTCATTCCGTGCATGCCGCCCTTGTTCTTTTGACTCCTCCTGTACAGGTTACACAAAAAAGGAAGAGACTTTTAAAGTTTCCACCTTGAAAAAACGTAGTGAAGTGGTGGTGCTGTAACGATAGCTGAAGGGTACCGTGGGATACAAGAAACGTTATGTTTTCTTTTTTCTGGTTTGATTGATAGATTTGGTCGAAACCTGGTTCGGTTTATGTTCTTTTGATCTGTAGAGCATAACGATTTCTGGTGTTTCTTTCCCCTCTGATCTATTATTCATTTTGATTGATATTTACATGCTTTCAGATGCATATATATATATATATATATATATATATCTGTGTGTGCTTTTTGCATAGATATGCATATGCCATATTGGGGACAGGAGAGTTATAATAAGCAGAGTGTGTTTCTTATACTTTGGGATCCATTGAAATTATATTCATTTGAAATTTAGAATTTGACTTCAATTTTATTAAAAATATTAATTCTCATTGATTTTTTTAATTTTAAATTTGATTTCGATATTTACATTTAATTAACTTGATTTTAATTTGTTTTTATCGAGATCAAATTGGGTTGGGGATAATTAAGCATTATTTGATTGGGTTTGTATAAAACAAATGTATTAGGCCAAGGGTGTCTGTCAAAAACATTCTTGATATACGTGAAAGACATACATACATACACACATACATACATACGTATGTATATATATGTGTGTATGTTGCAGATGATAAGTTAAAAACACTGTTGACAAATGGTTATGATATATGTATACACACACACACAAGGACGGACGAGCGAGCAGGTAAGGGGGCAAAAGGTGGTCGTGGCTCCCACGTTCATGTTATGAGACTTTGACACCGAACACGTACGTACCTACTCTCGAATCCGATTTCTTAAAAAGCAATGTTCTCATTTGCATCTTCCATCCCTTGCCTTTTTCCCATGTTACCCGATTTTTGGGTAATAAAATCCGTGAAACGGGGACATAAAACGTTTTTTCTATCCCGAGTTCAATCTTCAGATTGGAGAGGAAAACGTATTTCTAATAATTCGGCCGTTCTCGATTCCAGGAATAGTATAGCTCTCCATCCATAACACTCCATTATTAAAAAAAAAAAATCAAATTTAAACCCATATATGTTATTATTATTTTTTATTTGTATTTCATGTTATTACGGTTTTCATTCAATTATTTTTCGAATATATGTTTTCGTTTCAAAAATATTCATCTTCTATATATAAACATTATTTTTTGCCGACGATTTTTATGTTGAATTTATTATCATTAGGATTCAACTAATTAATTTAACATAAAAAAAAATCATACTTGATGAGTTTTTACATCATATTTTAATTTGAATTCGTTTACACATATATGGTAACTCCTAATCAATTACAAGTTGTTTAAATAATAAGAACCAAATGCTTGGGATTCAATATAACCGTCACCTTTCATCTAAACAAAACAATTCCTAATGTGTAGTAGTAAGTTACATGAGAATATTTTAAGCGTTATATAGTAACTTTAATATATACGAGGCATTGAAGAGGGCCATTTAATTTGTCGCATGTGTTTTCTTATAACATGCTCTGACATTGTTTATGGCGTTAGATTACATTTTATATCCAACGTTCCAACAACGTGCGCTTCATCATCATCATCATCATCACCTTATTATAATACAGAATATCAAGACTAATAAAAAGAAGATTCAAGTGCAGATGAAGGGGAGAGAGAGAGAGAGAGAGAAAGAATGTCGCTGATGGAAAATCTCATGGGTCTCCTCCGCGTTCGAGTCAAATGCGGCGTTAACCTCGCCGTCCGCGACGTCCGCAGCAGCGATCCTTACGTCGTCCTCCGAGTCGGCCGTCAGGTGAAACCTCTCTCTCTCTCTCTCTCTATATATATATATATATCCCACTTATACAAAATTTTTGTTGCAGAAGCTGAAGACCCGAGTGGTGAAAAAGGACGTAAACCCAGAATGGAACGAAGATCTGACATTCACAATAACCGATCCAAATCTCCCGGTTCAACTGGTAATTTAAAGGATCAAGAACCCGAATTTTTTTTCTCCTAAAAACCCACAAAAACCCTAACGTACGGAAACAACGTCGACGTCCGTTGCAGACGGTGTACGACCACGACTTGTTCAGCAAGGACGACAAAATGGGGGATGCAGAGATCGACATAGGGCCGTACATAGAAGCGCTAAGGATGGAGCTGTCGGGATTGCCGGACGGAACGATCATAACGAGGATACAGCCGAGGAGATGCAACTGTTTGGCCGAGGAGAGCTGCGTTAGGTGGAGCGGCGGACGGATCGTTCAAGACCTTTGTCTCCGTCTTCGGAACGTTGAGTGCGGCGAGGTTCAGGTCCAGCTTCAATGGATCGATCTTCCTGGTTCCAAAGGCCTCTGATCTTTCTTTCTTTTTTTAAAAAAATTTATTGTGTTGTTTTTTTAAATATTATTATTGAGTTTTGTATACTATTTCATATTTTGGGGAAAATGGGACCGGTCCCAAATGGAATGTATTGAATGTGAATCCAACCCAAATTTGATATACAATTTATTTTTTGGATTAGAAGTTTCTAAAATATCAAAATATAAAAGTAATCGAACAACCTTGCAAAATCATAATTTTATTAACAAGAGGTTTATGGGCTTTTTTGGGCCCATTTTTCTGTCATTCCATTCATCTATCAATAATCCTATAAAAATACACAAATTTAAAAAAAAATGTATCCGACAAGATACATAAACTTCTAATTTAACAATTTTTAAAATCTAGAGCAATTTTTAAAATATTTAAAATCTAGAGTAATTTGCTACATAAAAATAGTATCTTAATCGGTGTAAAAAATTGTTTTCATTCAAAAGTTAATATTTTTTATATATATTTTAATATTTGATATATTTATTTGTTTGTAAGATTCTTTTCTATATATATTTTTTATTATTTAAGTTTTTTACCATTGAAAAAAATACGAACTTTCACGCAAGGGCAATGTTGTCAATTCTTACCAAGAATACCCTACCGCCTAGGATTTTTATTCTCTTAATTTAGGTTTATTTTTTGTTTTATACAACTCAAGTTGACATGTGTTCATTTAAAATACAATTCATTTATATTTGAATAATAACATATCTATAAAAAAAATTATCTTAAAATATATAGAAAATGATTTTTTTAAATATTTCCTCTGTAAAATGTAAAAAAAATATCCAAGTCTATTTAAAATATTATAGAAACTTTTCCAAAGAGTATTTATTCGAATAATTGGTACCAATTAATTAGATACAATCATTAACGTGTTAATATTTGTTTAGTAATTATATTTTTCATAAATATAATAGGTATTGAATAAATATTTTGAACTATAGGTGTTTGAGAAATGTATAAACTCAATAATGCATATGCAACTGAAATTACACCCCCAAAAAATAAAAATTTTGGAAAAAAAGAAAAGAAAAAACCCCATATATTCTCTCTCTCTCTCTCTCTCTCTATATATATATATATATATATATAATGAGTTACAGATCCCAAAAGACAAAAGAATCACAGAAACCACAACACAGATTTTCTCCACGATGGCTCACTCCTCTTCTCTCTCCAAAAACAATGGTAAGTGCAATTATTTTTTGGTTATAATTCTATATAATATTCATAAAAATTCTACACTTTGATTATGTGTTTTTCATTCCACAATCTCTCTTTTGATTGGTAAATATATAAATTGGCGGAATCGTTAAAGGAGAAAAAAAATATAAATAAAATATATTTTGATGGTTCGGAATTTTGTTCTCGATATCAATGTCGGGCGACTCCATCGGTATATTGGAAGAAATTTATCGACATTTTTTTTTACAAATCTGTATTTACACAGAAATCATCAATATTTTGTGTATTTATACGTAGAAAATAAAATTTTTATAATTATTTTATATTTACGTGGATTTCTTGATATATGGATTTATATATGATTTCCTGTATTCATTCACGAGAAAACGGAGATAACTTAAAGAGTATTCACAGTAATATCTATATGGTTCGATTTTCCGGTTATTTTTCATTTATGTATATTTTGTGACGTTGCTTATGGAGAACCAAGGAGAACCGGCTTGGTTAAGACAGAACCAAGTAATTTTATTACCAAATTCATTATAACATAATATTGATTGGTTATTATAATAAATAATAAAGTTATAATCCATGATTTTAAGTTAATTACATGTAGAGTGATTAAGACTTTAGTTATTGGATTAAGGTTTAAGATCTCTACAATCATTTCGAGAGGACAGTTATGAATTTTTCGCTGTCCGAATTAATGCTTTGCCATTTTGCCGTAAAAGACAGGAGGAGTAGTTCCATGCTTACCTTTCTCACCACGTGAATCTGATTTCTCTTTTATGTATATACAATCAAATCGAAAAAAAAAATTTATTATTGATATATTAATTAATACTACTAAAAAATAATTTTTTTTTATTAGAAATAATGATACAAAATTAATATTTAATAGCGTCTATTTCATTACGAGTTGGAATCTCATCCTGGCTATCTATTGTTAAAAGAAAATAAATATCATGTTTTCTTAATTTAAGTAATTAAACATAGTTGTGTATATATATATAATGTTTTGGTGTATATATATATATATTTTTGATAAATGTCTGCTGTTACATAGTACAAACTACAAAATTCATAGTTTCCTTTCCTTCGTTACTCTGTACTTAATTGGGGTCGTGGACACTGAATCGGACGGTGTAGAAGATGCCACGTATGCATATGTAACGACAAAATAGATTCTCCGAACGGTCCCTCTGAATTAAGACACATCAATTTCGGACCCACCATTTCTCAAGTAAAAACAATTTGCGAATTTATTTTTTTCTATGCTTATCAAATGTCAGGTATATATATAATATTTAAAAATTAACTATTTAATGTTATTTTTTCATTTCAAGTTATTTTGTAAAATGATTAACGATGAATGTTATTTTCAATTACGTAGTTATCTTATTATTTGATAAATATAAATATTTGAAAAAATTATCATATAAATGCTGGTAAAACGTTTTCGGTAACCCTGTTAAGGTAATAGTAATTCTATACCTTATGATAATCCTATAATTATATGTGTCAGTAAAATATTTTGGACCGGTCGAGATGGATAGCTAAACCGAATTTGATTGCCTAAATTGAAAACCGGAATCGGATGCACGCGACTAAACCGCTACAGTTCTCCGTCATTAATATTAATAAAACCTCGGCCGAAGAAAAGCTCACTCTACGCACATATAGAGAGAGAGAAGAGAGAGAGAGAGAGGGAGAAAGCCAGAGAATTTTGGATCTGTGAGAGTTGATGAAGCAGAGAGGGAGACTCCATAACCACAGATCAAGGAGCTTTTCGAGATCCAGGCTCGCCATTGAAGGCTCGTAGCCATAGCTTTTTAGTTTCTTCTTCCGTTCTTCATCTCGCATTCCTTTTTGATGCAGAAACAACAAAGGAATTTGTGGGGAAGCTGGACCTGAAGCCGGGGCAGAAAGTTCTAGATGTCGGGTGCGGAATTGGAGGAGGGGACTTCTACATGGCTGAGAACTTTGACGTCGATGTTGTGGGCATTGATCTCTCTGTCAACATGATATCTTTTGCGCTTGAACGCGCCATTGGGCTCAGCTGAAATCTGACGGAAATGGCTGCGCAAGGTGGGTCTTTCGACTTCTTCTACGCCGCTTCTAGTTTGAATCGTAAAGAAATTGCTTATAATCTTGAAGGCGATTAGTTTTGTAGATTGTCCGTTTTATTGCCGTCGATTACGAGTAGATATTAGAAATGTACAAACGTGATGGTAAGCTCATAGAAGTTTCTGATTAGTTTTGCGAATGCTTGGATCTGCGTACTTCATTTTTTTTTTGTGATCGTTTCTTTCCACTTTTGCAGGGGAGGAACGTGAAATCCAAAAGAGTTACTGGAAAGAACACTCTGTTGAATGGTTTCTTGGTCTAGGAACCTCTTAACAGCCACTTAGAGCGTCCCGAAGTAAATGCTGCCGACCCTAAAGTTCATCTCCGCGATTCAGATTAAGATGAACCGCAATATGACCTAGGGATGGAAATGAATGACAAGCAAAACACAATCTGGAACTTGTGCAAATTGGTTGAGACGTTTGATAACACTCTTGCTTGATTTCCATATAACATGTTATCCATTTAGTTTCTTGAAACCTTGTTTGCTTTTAGGCCATGTGACTGAAAGCTGTCATAGATTCCAAGCGATAGAGATAAGAAATTGTCCGTGATGTGTAGTTTTGTTTCACGGATGAAAGCTTTTAAAACTTGAAGCACTTGTCCACATGCAGATACTTTCCGTTCTTCCTCCATTCGAGGGGAAGTCGGTCTTGGAGTTTGGAGCTGGCATTGGTCGTTTCACTGGTGAATTTGCTCAGAGGGCTAGCCAAGTTATTGCTGTCGATTTCATTGAAAGTGTTATCAAGAAGGTCGGATTGCCTCCAACTCTTGTTCTTTCTAGTTACTTGTAGTATCTGTTCTCTCGGCCAAGTATGCATGCTTCTTGTTTCCTCACAAATTCATGTTTCAGAATGAAGACATTAATGGGCACCATAAGAACGTCAAATTTATGTGTGCTGATGTGACATCCCCGGATCTGAAGTTTTCGGACGAGTCGGTGGACCTAATATTCTCAAATTGGCTACTGATGTATCTCTCTGATAAAGAGGTAATTCTTGTCTTATTACTCACAGAACCAATTTGAGATACTCTAAGACTAAGAAGGCATCTAATGCTCTGATGATGCTATGTTATCATCAGATTTAGTAGATACATTGGAAAAGTGCATAGAAATCTGAAATTACAAGAGATTGACCAGAATGCGTTAGGACTTCCAAGTAAAAATTAAGAGATAGTCATTGTATGATCTCACTTCTGTAATAATATTTTTTTCAATGGAATCGGCTGGCGTAGTAGTATTAGGTCATGTAATCACGACGGGATGATAGGTGTTATTATTGTGTCTTTTGTTGGATGACAAATCATGCTTTGTCTGCCATCTGCGTCAGATACACCTATTCATATGTATCTCCGAGTTTTACTCTTTTTGATCATGATGGGTGCCGCTAATTGTTTATGGAGTAGAGACACAAGAATGATTATGTTATTCCTTCACCCCTCAATGGAATGAATGAACTTTTCTTTTGTCGATTTGCAAATTGCAGGTGGAAGGTTTGGCAAGAAGGATGCTACAGTGGTTGAAGGCTGGGGGGTATATTTTCTTTAGAGAGTCTTGCTTTCATCAGTCTGGTGACAGCAAACGGAAATACAACCCAACTCACTACCGTGAACCCAGATTTTACACAAAGGTTGTGTTTCAACACTTAGCAGTGTATCCCTTTGGTCTTGGATTGTATACATTATTCCGAAGTATGATTTTCTTGCAGGTTTTCAAAGAATGCCATACGCATGATGAGGCTGGGAATTCATTTGAACTGTCTTTAGTTAGCTGTAAATGCATCGGAGCCTATGTGAGAAACAAGAAGAATCAGAACCAGGTGAACAATGCTCTTAGTTAGTTGTTTTGGCTTGTCCTTTTGAGCTTGTTTTATCTGATTCACTGACACAGTCATTTACTTTTTTACGAATCCCAGATTTGCTGGATATGGCAGAAAATCAGTTCGGACAATGATCGTGGCTTCCAACGTTTCTTGGATAACATCCAGTACAAATCTAGTGGCATTCTACGCTATGAGCGTGTCTTTGGAGAAGGTTTCGTGAGCACTGGGGGGATCGGTATGCTCTTGGCATAATTATCCATTGTCTTAGCATCTTCCATGACTAGTGATCACATCTTCTGTTGATGAAATAATCATTTGTACCAAAACTGCAAATTGATATAGAATTCGTTTTTTATCGACTTTTTGATGCAGAAACAACAAAGGAATTTGTGGGGAAGCTGGACCTGAAGCCGGGGCAGAAAGTTCTAGATGTCGGGTGCGGAATTGGAGGAGGGGACTTCTACATGGCTGAGAACTTTGACGTCGATGTTGTGGGCATTGATCTCTCTGTCAACATGATATCTTTTGCGCTTGAACGCGCCATTGGGCTCAAATGCTCCGTGGAATTCGAAGTGGCTGATTGCACAAAGAAGTCATACTCGGATAACACGTTCGATGTTATTTACAGCCGAGACACCATTCTCCATATTCAAGTAAGCTCCTCTGCCTCTTTCTTCCTTAATGGTGTTTCATTTGCGAATTCGTAATCATCTGTCTTAATTCTCAGGACAAGCCGACATTGTTTAAGACATTCTACAAGTGGTTGAAGCCAGGAGGCAAAGTGCTTATCTCTGATTACTGCAGAAGTCCCAAAGCTCCATCTCCGGATTTTGCAGAGTACATCAAGCAGCGAGGTTACGATCTTCACGACATACAAACATACGGTCAGGTATGTATGTATGTGTGTGTGTGTTCTGTTTTCCGAAATTTTGTGGATATATTAAGCTGAAGTTACCTGACCCGACATCTTTCCTCAGATGCTCAAAGATGCTGGTTTCAACGAGGTGATTGCGGAGGACCGAACCAATCAGGTATAAACATTTTTTTTTCTTTCTAGAGTCCTCTTTTTATAAGAATATAACAGTGTCATTGCCATTTACAAGTAAACAGTACAAGCTTAATCTGCAGCATCCCTAAGATTAAAATACGTAATGACAATAACACCTTTATACGCTTTATACATTCTAAATGAGCCAAAGACAGAACACTAAAGCATTGGTTATGTGTGATCAGTTCATGCAAGTCCTGAAGCGGGAATTGGACGCAGTCGAGAAGGAAAAGGAAGAGTTCATCCAAGACTTCTCGAAAGTCCGTTCGCCCCCCGCGCTGTTTTTATCCGCCTCTTTTTTTTTTCAAGCAAGTCGCTGTTTTTTTTCCGCCTTCTTGCTCACCCGGAAAACTCCTTTTTTTTTTTCCGGGGGTCGGGTTTTGCAGGAAGAGTACGAGGAGATGGTGGGAGGGTGGAGGGCGAAGCTGCAGCGGAGCTCGAGGGGAGAGCAGAGGTGGGGTTTGTTCATCGCCAAGAAAATCTCCTAAGACACAGTGTGAGTGTTTCCTTCTCTCCTTCTTCTTGGAACTTTTTTTTTTGAATGTTCATGTTTTTTTTTGGTACTCTTTGTGTGTGAAGAAGCTAAGTATTGGGCGGAACCTCGACTGGGATTTTAGTTACCGTTGGTTTTGTTCAATTTCCTCCGTCTTTTTTTTATTGTTAACAGTCGAAGTTTTATTACGTCATGTGTTTGGTTTATTATATAATTATGTGCAATATATATATATATATATATATATATATGTGTGTTTTTGACATAACTAACACTGACCCCTTGAGCTATAATTATTTTCATTCCATTTGGAAACATGGTACAATGCTAAAATCAAGAAGGTTTGATGTCTCTACCTACCTTATGAATTGTCCCATTCGATTTTCAAGATCAAGTGTGAAATGTTAATCAATATTGATTTCCCATCTCACCACTTGATTAATTTCTATTAACGAATATTCCCGAAGTGCCATGGTTACCGCATGCATATATTTTGAAAACTATGACTCACTCTAGAATATATTGATATATTAACTATTTATGGGTAATGTGATAATATGTAAATATTAGGGTGGGTGTTTCGGAAATCGGTTTGGTTTTTCTGGATAAAAATGCGCTGGTTCGGTTTTTTCGGTTTTTTCAAAAATAACTACCAATCGGTTTTTATATTATATTAGGTTTGGTTCAGTTTCAGTTCGAACTCGGTTCGGTTCCGTTTTTATTAAAAAAAAATAGATTTTTTTTAAAATTGGTTTTTCAGGATTTTTGAAAATTCGGTTCGGTTCGGAGAAATTCAATTTTCTAAAAATAATACTGTGTGAGAATTTAGAACAGTTCGGATCGAAAAAAATACCGTATTTTTTTATTTGGTTCGATTCTTCGGAACCGAATGGAGAAGCCCGCCCTAGTAAATACCACGTGATTGAACTGTATAGAATTTCAATTAAAAGAAATTGTAAGATTCATTCCATTATAATTTTATATGTTCATATGTGGTTATATTAAATTAGAGTTGATAAAGTAATTTGGTATAAGCTGGCTGGCTAGCTAATGGGTTTTAATGAGATTTTCCAAAATGTAAGAGAGAGAGAGAGAAGATGGGTTATTTCGGGTGGTGACTGGTGATACTGAGAGTAAGCAAGTGTACGGCAACTGAAGCGTGGAAATCGGTTGAATGTCTAAAGAGGAAAAAGGGGGAAATAGGTAGATGATGATTAAGCATGATTACTTGAAAAATAATCAAAACGCATGTTCTTAATTATGATTAATCAAACAGTAACACCTAACAAACAGTGTGATTACGACAGGAAAACCCCTTAATCGCAATTATGATTTTTTCTTAATTATATACGTAAATATGTGTATGCGAGTAAACTTGTATGCTCCACCATCATTTACATCAAATTCCTTTTCATTAACGACACATACATATAAATCACAAATAGAGAAAAAGTCTATTTTTTTTTCTTTTAAAAAAGACGAGGAGAAGCTTAGTTTAGTCAACCCCCAATAGCAGAAATAAACATCGTTTTTTCTCCTGATTAAAATGAAAAAAAAAAACTTATAAGATAATATTTTTTTGCTCACAAAACCCGTGAGTGCCCCCTCATAACCTTTCTTCTTTAAGTTAATTTTGTCTATTTGTGACTTGCAACTATGTGAAATGTTGATTAAGACTACACTTTTTTTTCATTTATCTTTATATTTACTCTAAACTCCATAGTTTCTTTCCCCCCTCTAATCTCGGCCTATCTCATAATATATTATGCTGTCATAATCCTAAGACGAACTCCATTACCATTTTTCATATATATATATATATGTAATCATTTCATCATATGGTATAATTCTTTAATTCAAGCCATATTCAACGGAGAGACTTTCACGTTTCTTCTTCTTCTTCTTCCTCTTCAAAACCCTTTTATCAGAAGCGCAGACAGAGAGAGAGAGAGAGGGAGGACAAAAGGCATGGCGGAGGAGTCATACGACGAAGAGTGCGACTATCTGTTCAAGGCGGTGTTGATCGGAGATTCCGCCGTCGGGAAATCGAATCTGTTGTCGAGATTCTCTCGGGACGAATTCCGGTTCGATTCTAAACCGACTATCGGAGTCGAATTCGCCTACCGGAATGTTCGCCTCCATGACAAGATCATCAAGGCTCAGATTTGGGACACCGCCGGTCAAGAACGGTACGTATATACCATAACCATACACACATGCACATATACATATACATATATATTATGAGATTGTTAACTAAATATGTCATTATGATCTTGATTATCCCGTATCATCGGTTCGTGCATGAATCTGCTTATGTCGACGAGTTTTTTTTAACTATTTTTTACCCTCTTGAAATTATTCAATTAATTGAAAAAAAAAAAGTTGTTTATTGCTCATCAAAGCCAAACATCTTTTTTTTTTTGGTTAACTTAACGAAATAAATGATTATTTTTGTTAAGAATTTTTATTTAATAAAGGTGGACATTTTCGGGATACTTCTTATTTGGATTCGTTTTTTATTCTACGAAAAAAAACATATTTATTCGATTTATTATCATCTTTAATTCCGACCAATTTTAAATTAAAACCTCAATTTAACTTTTAAAAATATTTAATTAAAATAAATTTAATTTAAAAAATATAATGGATTTTGATGTCAAATTTAAATTTAAATTAATTAGATAATAAAAAATGTACAGCTCATAGTCATTAAATCATAAATATATGATATCGGCACACAAAAAAAAAAGATAAAACAAAGTTTGGGATAATGATGAAGGAAACACACCACGCGCGTAGTCGAGATGCGAGCAATCAATGTCACTCCGACCTAATTTTTGTTGAATGTCGCCACCTTTTTTTTCTTTTCCTTTTTCTATTTTCTTTCAAAAAAAAAACATTTTTAGAATTTAAGAAAAAAAATCGTGATTACGCTTTCCTTTTTCTCAATGTGATAACACATTTGCCTTTTGCCTGCGCCCTTGCATGTATTTTCTTACCTTTTTTTTATGTATTTGTACATAGATTTTAAAGACTTTTTTTTTTATAATCCGGAAGTTCACCGGGCTTTTGGCCCAACTACATCTCTCAGAGGGATCGAGATAGTCCATGTGAAAACCCCTCCCCAACCAGGAATCGAACCTCCAACATCTAAATGCTTTGCACCCAGTTGCGACCACTCGTCCACAAACTGTTGGGTCGTTTAACATCGTTTTTTTGTTAAAAGACGATGTTATTTCAGTTCATATATATATATATATATATATTCGAATATAATTCCGAATAAAACTGAAATATGATATAAAAAAGTATAATTTATCCAAAACTGAAAAATCTGAACCTGAAAATAATGAAATCGAAATTCGATATATCCACCCGTAACTGTAGTCTCAATTATAATAAATTTGCGTACGTATACTAATCTTTTGTTTTAAAAAATTTTAGGAAAAAAAATCATCGCACAAAAATTAAAATTTGTTTTTAAAAAAAATATATTTCTCGAGTTCTCATAGATCTCTCAAATTTATATAATAAGTTTTGTTTAGTAGAATTAGAATATTCCAAATGCGATATACACATAAAATAAATACAAAGTTTATATAAACCCAAAAAATCAACATTGGTACTGAAATCTAATTGAATAATGCCAATATATTTTTTTATTAATTTGTTAAAAATAGATTCCGAGCAATAACGAGCTCGTACTACCGAGGAGCCCTAGGAGCGTTACTTGTCTACGACATCACGAGAAGGACAACCTTCGACAACGTCAAGAAATGGCTCTCCGAACTACGTGGCTTCTCCAGCCCCGACACCGTCGTCGTCCTCCTCGGCAACAAGTCCGACCTCCGATCCTCTCGCGAAGTCGAAGAGTCCGACGGTAAGTCTCTCGCCGAGTCAGAAGGTCTGTATTTCCTCGAGACGTCCGCTCTGGAGAACCTCAACGTCGAAGAGGCTTTCCTGACGATGATCCGTCGGATCCACGAGATCGTCAGCCAGAGAATCGCCTTAGAGCCCAAGTCCCTCGACGGAACCGTTAAAGTTAACGGCAACGGTAACGGTTCGGCTCTTCTTCCCGTTGGCAAAGAGATTGTGAATATTGATCAAGTTACCGCTACTCAACCTTTGAGTTCTTCCAACTGTTGCTTCAAATGAACGAATCCTATATATATATACATTGTTTTGGAATTTTTGTCATACCACCATGCTTAGCTTACATTTTCATGACATTTTGGTGTATAATGTAGTTAATGGTGTACGGGGAAACACAGAAGTTCTGTGTTCAATTTGATCGGTTCAATCGATTTCATATCCGGTTTTGTTTGGTTTAAACCGATCTATAATCCAATACCGGTTTAAACCTTCCACTGAAATTACAAATTCGAAACTATAGATGCGATAATACGCATTAGACGTTAGTTCGAACATTTTTCGAAAGATCCTCAAGTAAGGTATATCATAGTCTTACAAGAAGAAGAATGAGGAGCTTCTCTATCATTCAGTTCTTGTCTTTGTCTTGCCATTCCTTGAATCTTCTTCTCTACACCTTTGCACGTAAAAAACCGAAACCATTCACAACCGACCTTCCTAGATCTTCATCGCAACGTTCATCTCGGAGAGATACAACAAGTCGTTAAACCCGAAAAAAGACGATTCTCGGATCGAGGCTCACCCGATGGAACCCTCTTGAGGAAGATTGCGGCTATACAATGGAAGCTCGAAGAGCAATGCCGCCTTGAACCATTGCGGCAAGTTCCCATAGACTCCTCGCGGTAACAGAACGAGCGGACTGCAACCACAACGCAAAGTTCGTTACCAAATTAGCCCTCTTTTCGTCCGTCCTCTAGGGGTAGACATAATTAAGTCGGGTATCCAGAAAAAATTTAGGGCATTTGGATCCGTGTTCGTATTCGAAGGTCTCGGATACTCGGCCTAAGATCACCTGTAGAATATCTGGGTATCCAAAAATTATCTAAAAATATATTTATAACAACAAAAAATTCATACCCCTAAGAAGTAGGTCTGGTTATTCGAAAAATTCAGGGTTTATAGAAATGAGAAGAAGACAACCTCGTCGTCTTCTTATAGAACTTGTAAGCACCCATGTTGCCGTACTTTCTGTCGGCCGATGCCTGTTTACGCCCCCTCGAAACATATGTGAACTCTCCATAACCATTCTTTGATTAAAAACTGTACATAAAATCGGGAAATCCGAAAGGAAGAGAAATATGAACCTCGAGTAAGGGTATGCCGCTGACAAAGAGAAGCAGCAAAGTGAGAAAGATCGGTCCAAAAATCACGAGATACTCTGCTCCTTCGAGCACCGGTGACGCAGCCACGAAGATTCCCCACCAGAGTAATATCTGTCAAGAATTTTTGCAAGATTCTTCTGCTTTACACAAACCATTTTCGGAGTTGATGGGAAGAAAGTAGGGCTATGTAAAAAAAGCCTGATTAGGTATCCGAGCTAGTATCATATGAGATTGGATTATAGCATGAAGAAAACCCGAAAATCGGATTTGAGTTCGGGTAACTGGGTCCGAAATTGGGCATAACCAGTAGGTACCGAACGAACAGTAAATACCATTTTTGTCCCTAGATTTTAAAGATATCACAAACGAACTTAATAAAATTTCGGGTTCGGGTTCGGGAAACCCAAAAATTTTGGATACTTAACCCAAGTCAAGTTACTTGGGTTAGGGTGGATAGATACCCGGAAATTGTCTCGAGTATCCAATTTTCTTATACCTGACCAAAATGTATCTGAGATCGGGTAATAACACGAAAAAATCTCGGATACCCGACCCATCCCAAAAGAAAGTGATAATAAGCCAATATAGATTGAATCAAGAAAAACCGGGTAAAGTAGGCGAAATAGAGGAATCTTTGAGGTCAGTTCCAGTTGGGCAAAATCCGGCGTTTGCAGCCAAAATATACTAACCTCGCCAAAGTAGTTTGGATGGCGGGAGTATTTCCATACCCCGACGTCGCACCATTTTCCTCGATTTTCCGGAGAATTCTTGAAAGTAAGCTTCTGTTGGTCAGCCAAAGCTTCGATCAAGAACCCGGAAACCCACATTGTCCAACCTATTACATCCGCAGGCTGAAGAGATCTTCCACTGTCACTTGCATTAACAACAGTTACAGGTAAACTCACTGTCCAAACCCACACAGCCTGCCCCAAAAAAAAGAGAGAAACAAAAAAAAAATGAAGCTTTTATATCACGAGAGCAATACGAGGCGAAAATTAAGAACTTGAAAAACGGGAAAAAAAAGATTCAAAGTTACCTGAAGAAACCAGAAAACGGCTAACTTCACCAGATTGCCGCGCATTTCATCAAAGCGCCGGTCTTCCCCCCATTGAATGATCCTAAACACAATTAGCATGCCTTAAGGTAAGAGATGATTAGAGAAGAATTCATCAACTTGGGAAACAAAAAGAGCCTCTCTAAAGATTATATATGCATAACTCTCTCTATATGTCTGTATACATACATATATATATATATATATATATACACATATTGGTATTGCAAGAGATGAATTAGTTAATCAACTGCCGTTCTAAAACGACAAACCATAATGTTAGGATCCAGAAAGAGAGAGGGCAAGTCACGGTACGAACCTCATTAAAAGGAATAGGGCGAGGCGAAGTCCCCATACAACAACGAGCAAAGTCAAGACAATCTGGTACGAAACCGGAAAAGAAAATGATGACGAAATAGCAGAAATGTTATCATACAAAAACGATCAAAACAAGGAATTCAATACACCAAACTTATTAGAGAAAAACAATCCAAGAACATCAGTAATGATGAGATAGAAACTTCGATACAAGAACACCATCTTCAATTTCGATTTCAACATCAAACCCGAAAGACAGCAGTACTAATAAAGCAGCCAGCCACAGTAGGATATGAATCTCAACCATAATCTAAGGGAATGCTTGATGGGTTGATGAAATCTACAATCTTTTCCCCTGCACCCTCTAAGGTCCATCAATGATCATACCCCATGCCATTTCATAACCACAGAAGAGAGGAGTTACCTGGCGAAAATGCCATGTCCCTTTGAGTATCAGAGTCAACACAGCGAGTATAATGAAATTTGTGCTTCCTGGAGATGAAAAGAAAACAGGAGATGAAAAATTAAAGTCGAAGTTTCAAAATGAATCAAACAAAACTGTCCACATTTCCTCCTGCTGCTTTTCCTTAGATCCATAACAAGGAACTAGCAACTGAACATTCTGTTTATGCCACAGAACACGAATACTATTTCAATGTCCGAATCCAAAAAGAGCCAAATTTAGTTGATGAAGGAATACCCTCACCGGCAAAGTCAGTAACTTT